AAGTTCTGCTGCTGGCAGGGCTGTGACAYGAGGGACAGATGTCATCTTGTGCTGGGTGGATCAGAAATGAGGGATCYTGCTGCCATGTGTGTGTTTTGAAGCTGGCTCATTCCATTTTCTCACTGCTGGAAGATGCAAATTGTGATTATTCCTCTCGGGAAAGGACCACAGGAATGTCCACAATGGCCCGTGCATGTTGTGCAGAGAGATTGCTGATTGTGAAAAATGGGCTCAAAGGTACTAAAATTGCCTCAGGGTGCTGAAAATTGCATTAATTGCTCAATATTCTATATTATTAGAGGAGCTCAACTAACCCCAGCTCTCCTGGAAAAGTCAGCAGGTTTTAAAAGAGGTGGAGACCAACACGTTGGAAATTCTTGGGTCRCTCTCCATTGGAGTTGATTTGTCCTTCATAAATTTGTGATGTTTAGAGGGATGGATGGAATTGSTGTGWCCATTAACAGGGTATGAAAGTGTTMGCAAAGGRTGATTATTTGGAAGCAAAWYCCACGTAYACTGAAGTCTCCTTTCCACTATTACATGTTCTGGGATACCTCATCTCTCCAGCTGCTTAAATCAAAGGGGTATTTGATGAGAAAAAAAAATTCTAACAGAGACTCTGAGACTTTTCTTTTTCTCTCTCACTGAGCACCAGGGTGTTTAAACTGCAAAATTCACAGCAAGGTACAAAGTTCTTAAGGATCACAATCTTTACTTCCCGTCTAAGTTTTCAAAGTTAAAACTGCCTCCCCAGCTTCTCCTTCCTACTGATGCCATTTTTATTTCTACCTATTGATTTTGCTTTTAGTGAGATCATCTGCACCAAATGAAATAACCCTGTGCAGTCACTTCAGTGTACAAAATAAAGTGATATTCAATTTACAGAGCACCAAATCCATGGAGAGGGAAGAGCCCTCCCTGTARTCAGTGAGAGCCTCTTGGGAGCTGCAGCCTCTCTCTTGCCAATGGCAAATATCAGATCCCAGAAATAATATTAAAAAGACTAAAAATAGCAAATATTAAATCCCAGGATATTTCTGAGCTCTGACATTTGCTCTAAAGGACACGATGCTGTTGGGAACAGGTCTCACCTGCAGAGCAGGAGACCACRTCAGCAATGTTCCCTCTATATGTATTGCCAAGATTTAGGAATTGATTAACCCAGCAGTCTGGCCAGCTCTGCTTCCTGCTCAATGGTGTCCAGGCTTTTTTAACACTTTTTACCTTCAATTATTTTTTTTAAATCCTGATAAAGATGGTAGTTTTGACCTTCAGCAGAAAGTACTTGTGGGAAAATGCGTTTCCTGGGAAAATTTGTTCTTGTTTGGCAAGAATTAAAGCTTGGCAAACCTTATTTGCCTTTCTAAATAATGTCCCCAACCTGCCTTCGGAGAACTTTGCTGATGCACAGTTGAGGCCACAGCAAACAAGACACTTCCATCTCAGATTTTCTCTGATGCATGAAATGTGATGTCCAGCTGGCTTCTGCATAAATAAACATTTTCCTGTAGGACAGCCACACCTCAGGTGTACAGGAATAGCTACCAATTAGTGTCACTAAATCATTCCAGTGCAAGCCACAAACATTACCACTCAGTTTGTAATTTACTCCTGATGTGGGTGCTTGTTCTTCTCAATACTTAATATGTCTGTTTATAGAAAAGTTGATTGAGATAATTAGCAGTAAAAATGCTAAGGTAACGCGGCTATGGTAACATTTAAATTGCTATCAATTTTGTTTATAGCAGCCTAAAGAGCAGTGCTGAAATTAGAAATTAGCTACAATTAGCAAATAAATTGAGTGTCTCTTGGAATTACTTGATCATGTCTTAAAACGTTGCACGGTGTGATGCTCACAGAGGCARAGCAGAGTCCCTGGGCTGAGTCAAGGAGAACACACAGCACTTTTGCTGCTGCTCCTGGCCTTCCATGGAGCCTGGGCTSCTGCCCCACAGTACAGGTTTGATGACTGCATGCTGGGAAGGCAGAAAAAAAAAATTTATCTCAAAGGGATTTGTCTTTCCGTGGTGAAAAAGAAGGCGGAGTGGGATTTTCAGTGGGCAGAAGCTCAGAGACTGTAACACCTCCACCTTCTCAGTAAATGAACCTTGAGACACACATTTAATGTTGGCAGCTCCATATGAGAGGAATAACTTGGCCTGGAAATGTGTTGTTATCCCAGAAGATTAGTGATGGATAAGGAAGTCAGTTTTCTCTGATTGCCTGAAATTGTGTCGCCTCAGAAGGCCTCAGGCATCATTTTACTCTCAGTTAGAAATAGTTCCCTTTCCCAGTAAGGTACTTTAAGGATCCTGCTTGATAAATGCTTTACAGAGGCATGTAATTATTTTCCTGGCATAATTTCATAGTTTGATGAGGAAAGAAATGTGTTGTCTGCTGCTGTTAAAATGGGTCATTAAGTACAGTTTTGAGAACGAAAAGAGGAGGAGAATCTACCCATTCCAGGATCAGCTGCTGTCTCCCCTCTCTCTCACCTGACTTAGTAAAAYTTCCCTCATTCCTCACCCTTTGTCAGCAGCACACAGGCAATGGTTTTCTGCATCACATGTGCCCTTCATCTCTGTGTCCAGAGGGGAGAAGGTGCTGCTGAGCCTCTCATCCTCCTCCTTCGAGCACAAGTCTGGAGTATTCATCCAAATCTCACACGATGGCCCTTAACTCCTGGGATCYTGCCCAGTTTTGGATGCACATATTTGATTGCACTACTGAAACTTCCATTTAGTGTCAGTTGAAGTGATTATTGGGCTGGAAGGGAAGGAGAAAATATCTTCAGCCGTGTGTGTGTGGGGATACAGAGACACCTCTGTGCTCCACTGAACAGCAACAAATCTTTCTGAAGTGAAACAGGAGAGCTTGTCTGGCCTGGAGAGAAATGACCCACACTTAATCAGGTGTGACATTTGTCTGGGATGTGGAGAAACAATGATGGAAACCTGGTGGTACACAACTRACTCCTTGCCCCCTGTGCTCTACATCCAGTTCTCTTTCTCTGGGAATGGAAATCCCATCTTTATCTGGGGAAACATCCTCTGCTGGTGTTAAAAGTCACATATTCCAAAAAAAAAAAAAACAACATTTTAACATCTTCTAAGGAAGAAAAATTTATTTCCTTCCTTCTATTTCCTTCCTTCCTTCCTTCTATTTCCTTCCTTCCTTCCTTCCTTCCTTCCTTCCTTCCTTCCTTCCTTCCTTCCTTCCTTCCTTCCTTCCTTCCTTCCTTCCTTCCTTCCTNCTTCCTTCCTTCCTTCCTTCCTTCCTTCCTTCCTTCCTTCCTTCCTTCCTTCCTTCCTTCCTTCCTTCCTTCCTTCCTTCCTTCCTTCTTTTTTTTGCAGTTTCCTTCCAAGCCAGGTGTCTGTGTTCCCTGTGGATTTCATCTGTGCAGAATCTATCACTGATAAATAACTCTTTGTGTTGAATTTACAGATGAGCTAAACTGTTTTCTTTAATGTCACAGTTTAGTACCTTTTCCTTTTCAGGTTCGTGTGAGCGCTGGCATTCAAAGGAAATAAATCTGTCACTCAGATAATGTATTTGCCCTTGGTACCAAAATATATAAATAAGAGTTGCAAGGTCATTAGCCATATCAATGGAAAGAAAAATGTGCTGTGCATTAAATAGCTGAMTTCCAGGCTGGGTTGGGCAAATAGCAGTATAGCAAAGTGTACTGCTCATTTCTCCTTCTGATCGGGAAAATCAATTAATTCCTTTGTTGTTGTTTGGGKTTTTTTAGCATTTCCCCTTTACACTGGAAACCCTCAGCACATGTCAGTCCAAATTTATGAGCAGTGTGTTTTTCAGGGTATTCCATTTATCAAATGTAAATTCCAGTGGCCAGTGATTTACTACTGAACTGTTTGGAAAGCAGCAAGTAAATATTACCTAACAAAATATTAAAAAAAAWATATAAAAAAGCCGAAGGAGAGAAAATTTTATTTGCCACTTTCCAAGCAGTTTATCTTTGTCCTTGAGAAGGCAGGTTAGGTGGAGAACTGCCCCCRTATAATTCTGGAATACATCTTGTAYGGAAATGTGCTTTTRTTCTCAGTAAAAAGCAACCTTGGAGAGCACTGAATTATTGCTTRTATTTTAATAACTTTTATTTACTTCAGCTAGATTCCTCTAGTAGTTGCAGACCTGAGGGAGCTGAATCYATAAGCCTCCCTCACTCTGCATCACTCCAGATCTCACTGGTGCAAAGGGACAAGTCCTCGTTGCTCCCTGCCCTGGAGTTCAGACAGTAAATAATCAACAGGGTGGAAATTGCACAGTGGTGTCTGGGCAGGATGGTGATACCATCTCCACTCAGCTCCTTTTATTCCTCTCCACCAGCTCAGGGACAGAGAGAGAAGATGATGAGAGGTCTGGAGCACCTCTCCCGTGGCAGCAGTCTGAGAGAGTTGGAGATGTTTAGTCTGGAGAAAAGAAGGCTCTGGGGTGACCTCAGAKCCCTCTCCAGCACCCCATTCCTGTSTCAAACACAGACAGATGACACAGCTGATTTCTGCTGAAGTTTCAGCAACAAGCACTAGGTTAAAACAACATCCATGGCAGARGTTACCACCTCACAATCTKTTCTCTGCCTAATGGTCCTAAAAAYGGTGATGTTTTGGTGAAGGACTTGTGTATTTATGGCTTATAAACTTCTGTACCTAACAGAGTTAGGCATTCACCTCAGAGTCACCTGCAATGTGCAGAGAGAGGGAAATTGGGTGATAGAGTTACCTGTAATGTGCAGAGAGAAGGAAATTGGGTGATAGAGTCCCTTGTAATGTGCACAAGAGAGAAATTGGGTGATAGAGTGACCTGCAATGTGCACAAGAGAGAAATTGGGGGATAGAGTCACCTGCAATGTGCAGAGAGAGGGAAGCTGGGTGATGGTTTTGAGCTGTTCGACAGCACACAACATCTGAAAAGAAGCATTTGTATTGCCTCCAGAGGTGAAAAAGAGGTGAAATATGTGTTGTGTGTGTCTCCCCCAGGTGTGGCAGTGCGGGGGCAGCATGGAGGTGCTGCCCTGCTCCCGCGTGGCGCACATCGAGCGCACCAAGAAACCCTACAACAACGACATCGATTACTATGCAAAGCGCAACGCCCTGCGCGCCGCCGAGGTCTGGATGGACGACTTCAAATCTCAYGTTTACATGGCCTGGAACATCCCCATGGCGGTGAGTGTGGGTCACAGCGTGTCCTGAGCATGGCACGAACACAGGGATGTTCCTAATTTGAGGTGAAGGGTGTTAGTACCGTGCACAGTGGGCACAGCTCAAGGAAAGCTCAGTGTGGGGAGTTCTGCCATGAGAACTCATCCCTCAGTCTAAGTTTAGTMGTGCTCTCAGTCCAGATTGTTGTGTGCAGAGACACAGATTTATAATTTAACCAGAGCGAAATGTCTCAGGTTTATGTGCTCCCCCAGAAGTTGTTAATTTGGGGCGCCGTTAAACTCGGAGGTGTTCRCACGCTGCGATGGTGGGGACGGCAGAAATGTCCATAAATAAATATCAGTGTTTGTTGTGAGACTCAATAGGCCTCAGCAGCATAAAAAACAAAGTGTGCAGTAAAAGAATCCCACATTAAATAGCTTTATTGTCCACAGGCTGAGAGGTGCAATGTGGGCCCTCTCCGCTCCTCGCTGCGCATACGAATTGTAGATGGCGTTTGGGGCCCTCTAGGAATCCATGTCCTATAAATATTAGATAAACTGTAGGTTCAGTTTATCACTTTCTTCTGTGAGTATATCACATTCTACATCTGCACTGAGTGTAATTCTTGCAGAGAGGAGTTGTTACATCCCAGCCAGGTGGAAGCTGGTTGGTGCTGYGTTCCTTAGCTGTGTTTGCATCCAAATTATTCATGTGAAAGGGCCCAGGGAGAGCAGCTGAGGGGTAACACACACTGATCTGTTGGTAATGATGGTTTAGTTAACCCTTATGGCAGGGGCTTGCCCAGAGCTGATTGAATCAAATAGGAACAGGAATGTTCCTGTCAGAACAGGAAAATAAGCAAACCCAGAGGTGTCTGGGAATATTCAGTTGTGCCCTGGAGTTCATCAAAGTCATGGGAGTCTTGTCAAAGGCTCCATTAGATTTAGTCTGTCCTAAACATCTTAAACATGCTTTGATACCTAGTTAATATGTGAAACCTCATTTTTGTTCATTCCTCTTCTTAAAGTAGTTTTTAAAAATACACGGTTTTTAAAATACACGTTCCTAGAGGAGCAATGTTTCCTCCTTTTCCGTGTGATGTCTGAATATGTCAGATATTCTCAAATTCACTCACTGCTACTCAGCATTGGACACTGTGCAAGGTCTCTGAGATGTGTTCTGGTGACTTCTTTTGGCACTAGAGGTAATTGCAGARGATTGTTTTGCCTTAACAAAAGGCAGCACTGCATAACTTTTTCCACACAAGGTTTCTGTGACAGGAGGAGGAAGACAGAGCAGTGTCCATTTAAGATTTTTGGGGCATTTTGGCCCTGTCTGCACACATAAAAAACACATGCTAAATGGCTGGTTTTCAAATAGGAGAAAAAAAGCTAACCTCTGTAAATTTGCTCACTTGATGACATCCGCAAATGAATCTCCAGAAAAGATGATACTTAAATAAGCATTTACACCAAAACATGATTTCCTTTAATCTCTCTGAGATTACTTATTGATGCAGTTTTCTGCACTGAGCTATACAGCAGAGCTTTAAAAAAAACCCAGGCACATCTACAATGAAAGACATAAAATCAACAGAAGTACTGAACATTAAAATTTTCTTCCCATAAAATAAATTGATTGATTGATAAAATGTGCATCATAAAAATGAGACTATTAGCTCTCAGGAAAAGGAAGCTGATGTTCATGTTCATKATGTTTTTCATTGTAGTATTCAATGCAGATGACTGTACTGGTGAAAACCATCAGAAAAACCTTCTGCAGGAGAGCTAGAAAYCTTSCTGGCTGGATAAAAAGGATATATCYACAAARTAAATCCCRTGGGCACCTMATTCTTGTACCATCACACTGTAACCTGGCCATGCTGGCTGCAGCTGGCACAGAGGGTGAGCACAGCATTTTCAGAGCTGCTCAATTCGCTGCTCTCATGATCTGCGGAAAGAGAAAAAAGAAGAAAGAAAAACACAAAAAGGGCACGGTGTTGACTCATTTTAGGGCAGGAGAGAGGCAAGTCAAATGTTTATTGTCCCATATCACAAAATCGATCCAAATTAACTCCTTGGTAACTCCCACCATCTTTTTCACACTCACTCACTCACAGGTTATTGGGAATGTGAGCACAAAGTGTCTCTGGATCAGCAGATGGTTTTGGGCACATCTGCCAGATCCTGTTCCTATAACCTCCATCAGCAGGTCAGCAGGGCTTTATTTTAGTTAACCAAATMCTGGTTATGTCCCCACTTATGATTCATTCCTCGACAATTTTAGTGATAAAGGAATCTTCCATTGAATGATTTATTGCACCGAGTGCCTCAGAGGATTGCTCTCCTTGCACGCAGCCTCAAGTACTGCGTAAATTAACATTCATTTGAATGGATGCTGCACTGAGGGCTCCTGACAGAACGTGCATCAGCAAGCAGCAGTGAGCACAGCAAACTCTTTATGTGGCAAATAGAAAAACCTGTTCAGTATTACACTTGTATTCTCTCTTGAAAGCCAGGCATCTGTTGGGGATTTAATAAACCCTGAGCTAAGATTTGCTGCTGTCTTGTAACCCTGAGTTAGAAACAATCTGTAAAATGTACAGATATCCTTCTGGAGGAAAAGCACAAGGAACTTGGGARAGATGTCATGCAAAACTCCCCAGTTTCAGTCCATTTGATTAATACAGTGTCGGAAAAGGGTTTTGGATGAGGTAGTTCTTACTGTCTTAATGTTGAACTGGGATGATTTATAACACTTTAAATCAACAGACTCTAACTCGGGACCCAGCAGCTTTAAATGGCTGGCTTTGGTCAGATGAACTTGGATCTTCCAGTTGTGACTTTCATGGGGTTTGTATTTAAACATGAATTAAATTCTGAAGTAGAATGATAAAGGTTTTGAGTTTAACTGCATTCTATGGCTCGAGTCTGCAAATGAGCTCCAGCTCTAGTGAAAACTGACTGCTGGTCTGTGTGAATGCTTAGTGGAGCTTAATGACTTTTTGAGCAGTTCTGCTTTGAAGTTTTAACAGGTCTGTTCTGACATCACTTACATTATTGAATACCCAAATCAGTTACTAGAGTAAAACATGACCAAGCTGCCATATTTTASACCAGAATTACTGCCTAAATTCCAAATGAATCTGAAAGCAAAGGCTTCAGGATTGATTGCAAACGCTTAGAACTGCTGTAAGTAACAACATTCTTATTGTATTCTTATTATTTTGATTTATGTTTGGTTTTTGCTTGTTYTTTATGCTTCTTTTTCCACTGGCTTTCATTAATATTTATTGTCTGCRCTGCACAGCAGCTGTTTTGTATAAGTAGCAGCTCATCAAAGAGAAGGAAGAGAGAGAAATGCAGCTTGGTGTACAAAATGAACTCCAGTTTGTTTTGGGTAATGAAAGCAGCCATAAAGTCAGTGCAGTGAGATTTCTTTATCCTTTTTCTGTTTTGCAGAACCCCGGAGTTGACTTTGGAGACGTTTCTGAACGAATTGCGCTGCGGCAGCGCCTGCAGTGCCGGAGCTTTAAGTGGTACTTGGAGAACGTGTACCCTGAAATGAGGGTTTACAACAACACGGTCACTTACGGAGAGGTACGGGGCTCTGGAAACTCATCTCCTTTCTGTGCTGGGTATCAAATCAGCAGAGGCAACAAAAATGCCCTCCCCTCCTTTTAATCAACACTTTGAGAAGCCCCATTCCTTCCATTGGAGTGCAGCAGAGGAGGCCACCCTCGCTGACAATGACGTGCAGCCTCCTTGGCTCTCATTTCAAAATCAGAATTTTATATCAGAGATACAAGATTGAGGCAGTCATTTTCCCAAATAAGATGCCACAGGCACCATGAAGAAAACATCCGTTTTTTGGTTGTGAGAGCTAAATTAATTGTCTACATGAACTGCAGTTAAATCCAAAGGCAGTATATTTTTCCCACAAGACAACTAAATGGACACTGTTCCTTTCTGTTCCATTTGATTGACTTCACATAAAAATAAGCCAGACACTTAAGACATTGATACGAAGTGCAAGTTTTATTGCATAATACCACTTTGCATGCTAACATAAGTATCCCCATCAGGAGCTGAGAAAAGACATTGAGTAAATTCAGCAGGAGCTGGCGGTGTCTGTCAGCCCTGAGAAGGCCATTAACAGAGAAGAACTTTGGCAGAAGTGCCAATGTTGTGTCAGTTATACCAGACTGTGAGCAAGCTGGGCTCTAAAACAAAGCTTGTTCCTCTTGASCTGTCACAGAGGAGGTTCTTGAGTGAAACAGCAAGTTTAGTGATGCAAATTGCTAATTCTTCAACAGTTTTAATAAAATAGAGCTACACAAGCTATTTAACAGGTATAAACCAGCCTAAGTCCCTTTCAGTCTTACTTTAGGCTTCATCCTAAATTACACCAGTCTTGTTATTAAATCCTTTCTCTTCTGGTTATTTTCCTGCAGGAAAAATTGCCTGGATTTTTGTGAGTTTCAAGGAAAATAAATGTATTGAGTAGATGTGAAACAGATTGAAACTGTACTAAAAATATATTTCCTAGTGACTCAATTCACATTTTTTTAAAGCCATCTCATAAAGCTGTCTTCATCTCCTTTAGCCTTTATAGCACGTAAGCCATAAAATAAACCTTCTGAAACTTAGTTGTTGGTGAACCCCCTTATCCAATTGGATTCCCTGTTGTGCTTGTACACTRTAATATGAAGGATTATCTACTGATTTTTTTCTGACACCCTGTGCAGCAGCTGTTTCTATATTATGGGGGTGGCCAGACAGGCACTTCACAGTCTAAACCAAAACTGACCTGTTGAGTCTTTCAAAGTGTCTGTCTAAATAACTTCTTGTTTATGATAGCTCTAAAATCCTTCTATGTCCAAAATATGTGTGTAATCTTCCAGCCTCCAGAGAAAGGCCTAGGTTTTCACAAGAGCTCCATCCCAGTTTTTAAAGACTTGTAAATTCTTTTCCTCTGGGGAGGCGTAGGAATTTTTTAGTTCCTTGGATCTCTGAATCTGTGCTCTTTCATACAATGTGCTTTATGTCACTTCTGTACACAACAATGTCCTATATTTTCAGTTTAAATAACCATTTTTCACGTGCTTTTCTGGGTTTATATCAGCAATAGGATGAAATAAAAGCATGTCACGTCCAACACCAGTCCTGGGTACCTCCTATGCTGTATGTAAATCCACATTCTCAACATACAGGGTCAAAATTTATGTTTGCAAAATGGCAATTTGGAACAAAATTTGGCCTGGGTTTCTTAGGGTGAATTTTATGAAGTTCTGATCTTTGAGTAATGGTTGAAAATATAACTGACCCAAGGTCTGTAAAGACAGCAGATTGTCCAAATAATATCTTTTCCTGGAGCAGATTTCTGCTGGCATGCTGTCATGGCTGAAGGATAAGCATGTGCCTCTCAAAGAGCAGTTTTATGTGGTACTTGTTTCTAGAGCTGTAGCACAGCTGAGGTTTAGCTGGACTGGACTGAAACAGGGATTAATTTCCAACAGTTTGTGTTCTGATCTGGTTTCAGGTGCGTAACAGCAAAGCCAGTGGCTACTGCTTGGACCAGGGGGCCGAAGAGGATGACAAAGCCATCCTTTATCCATGCCATGGGATGTCCTCCCAGGTAAGTCCCATAACTGATGGTGAAAAACCCAAAATGATTGAGAACTCTTTAACTTAAAGAACTTCCAGAAGAAATAAAGCATAATTTGGTGTATTTGGGTTGAGTTTGGCAGTATAATTCCTGAGTTGCAAAGGCAAATGTCTGACTTTACTCCAGTCTTGTTGGGGGCCTTTTCCCAGCATGTGAATCTATACTTTCAAGTTGCCAGATGGGAAAACAGAAAAATCACATTGTTTTGTTTAAATAATAGTGATCCACTGAAGATTAATTCATTTAGGTGGTCTAAATTAGTGTGAATGAGCAGTTCTTCTTGTTATGACGTGACTTTTTCATGGTACCTCTTTAATTTAACTCTTCCTTGGTCCAACAGGCTCCTGGACAGAAATTATTTAGCAAGCTGCTGATTTGATTCCCCAAGCAGGCWAAAAGTTAAGCACATATTTGACATCAGCTTCAAAGGGAATTAAGAATATCCTCTAAGTTAAGACTTTTTTAAAACAGAGGATTTTTTTTTGTCAGTCCCTGTGCATATTATTTTCTTAAAGATGTCTGAAGATTTTTAAATTACATTTCTTCTTTCCATGCTCATAGTGACACTACTTGTTTTTTAAATACGAACTGGATATTATTTAAATCCAGAACTTGAGCTTCTTCTGAAATGTAATTCTAGTTTCTTTTGAAGTAGCATCTGAATCAAAACTATGTTAATGAACATTCTCRTGTGTAAATAAACTCTGACCTTATCAGGCTTAACCATTATCTGAGGTTCAGTCATAGAGGTATTGATTGGGAGCCCTGGCTCGTGCATCACCGTGGAGGCAAAGTGAGACAGACAGTAATTCCTGCTGGCATAATGTCCACCTTTGGCAGGATCATTATGGAGTGTTTGACTGACACTCTCCTASTGGAGGTGGAAGGAGCAGCCTTTGAATAAGGTAACAAAACAGCATTGCTTAATTAGATGTAAATTAGCTTTTCAAGAAGDCTCTTGTTAAAGATGTCAAGGCGCTCAGAGCTCTTACTCCATTCTAATCTGAACAGAAAGTTGCAAATTTAAGTCCTTCCAGAAAGTCCCTTAGCAACATCTAATCTCTATCAGTGTGCTAGCACTTAGGACAGTAATGAAATAAATGGTTCAGCCTCTCATTTATTTTGCAATTTAAGTCCTTAACCTGCTTGTTTCCCTCCATGATTCCYGCTTCATAGAATATGCATTGACTTSTAGGAGGAAATAGATGAGGSCAGAGATTACAGCAAATTTCTTTTGTACAGTATGTTCAGTTTCTCCTGCCTAACATGAGGGTAAAAAGTAGCTCATCTTTTAGCAACCAGCTCTGACCCAGTGCCAGTGGGACAATACAGGTACATTCCCATCATCCCAAACCCTGCTGCTGAGTCTGATATTCCATTTCCTGCAGCAAGCCCTGGGCAGTTGGGTTTATATCACATGGTGAAATAACACTGGCCTCAGGTAATTCTGGTTTTGGCAAAGAATTTTCTGTAACAAATAAAGAGCACATTGTACAGTATGACACATGTATTTTTTAAATTGCCCTACACACTTGCACCAAACTCTTCATTAAGTTACTTACCCTAATACAAGAAGAGTGCACAAAAATACCCAGACATTTTCCTTTTTAAAGAAATTTGATACTTCACAGTATTCTTCAGAAATACCCAAAGTATTTACTGCCTAAGAAATTGACGGTGGGTAGTGACCAGTTAAATTGCCTCTCCTGCAGGTTTTCAGTGTCCTGTATATGTGAATTTTCTGGAAAAGCCTGAAAGTTGATTTTAGATTTCATATTGCAGCCACAAGCTAGAGCCCTTTTGTTAGTAGCACTGCATAAACACATAAAAAGAAAAAGTCACTCTTCCCAAACCCTTAAGATCCATTCCCTGTGTCTAAGAATTATCAAAGTGTGGGAAAGGCAAAAAGTTCATCTGTCAAATCATTCCRCAGCATTTTCCATTCTCCTTCAAAACAAACAAACCAACAMAAAACAGGAAAAGAGATTTCATTCTGCAAGAAACACCAAGTGAAGGCAGAGGTGATGTTTTATCTAAGTTGTGTATTTCACAGACAAGCATGAGTTGGAGCCACTCAAATGCAGCCAAGTTAATTAATGATTACACAGCTGGAAAACTTCTATCATCTCACCACAATTTACAAAATTAATTCAGTGTGAGAACCACAGCTGCACAAACCCTAATCAAGGATATTCAAGCACATAGCATGAAAGGTGTTGACAGGGAGCGTTTTAATATATTAAATAAACATTTTTAAAGCCCCTCTTCTAATCAGCCTGGGTGAGCATAGTTGTCTGCTGCATTTAGCTTTCCATTTCTGACATTTTTCATCTCAGGCATAGGACATAAAATACCCCTACTGAGCCGAGATTTGGGTTATTTGTACATGCCTGCTGAATATAAATTAATATGAATATGGAACTCACTTTCCCCTGTTGGGTTATCACTGGTGTTCATGTGTCCTAGCAATGTGAAAGCCTCTCCCTATCCAGCTACAGCCTTGTTTGTTTTTCATACTCTTCATTTCTGACAAGATTACCAGTGATTTTAGTGTACTCATGGTTCCTCTGAAACCACCAAAGCCAGGCAGGTGTTTAAAGAAAGCTGAGTTAGGAATAAGATTACTGCTCATCTGTGATGAAATGTTCTTTTTCTCTATTTTTTACCCTTCTCTTTCCCTTGGATGTTGTTGCCCTGCGTTACAGTGGCAAAATAAAACCTCTCCACAGTGACTGTTTYGTGAACAAAATGCCTTTCCCTGTGTGCATTTCAAGATCAGTTTTCACTGTGATAAATCACATCTTTGTAATGACATCAGCTTTTAAATTTCTTTATTCAAACAGGGACGAGCTCTGTTATGGATGCTCTGGAATGCATTTAGCCTGAGTTTACATCAATTTAGTTTAATGAGTTTGACTTGAGCTAAGTCATTGTAAGCTAACAGCCAGGAATATCCAGACAGGGTTTTGCATCARTCTGAGCTGATTTCTAAACCTATTTTAGCAGAAGAGTAGTGTCTTTTTTACATGTGTTCATTGGATCTGAAGCTTGAGAGTAATGACTTTCTGGGAAAAAAATAGTTCCAAATACAGCTGGGAGAAACAGTCCAGGGCTGCAGAAAATTCATAAAGAAAGGAATATATTTGGAGTCTTGAACTGCTTTACCTCTGCCTGTGGTTATCACCTGCAAAGCCCAGTGGTTATATAGCACTACTTTATACCCTTTGGTTGTAAAATGAGATAAAGAATGAAAAAAAAAAAAAAAAGAGAGGGGTTGTGAGGACAGACACAACCCCTCCAAAAGTGGAATTTGTTCTGAAAGCTTCTTAGGATGCAGGTTTTGAACCATCTGAGAGAGCAMTTACACAGCCCCAGTGGAAATATTCACTGTCTCGGGGTCTGYCTTGAATGCTGTGATGTGGAGCTGATTATATGGTATGAGAAAGAGAGGAACGTTAATGAAATGGCATCTTGGGGTAGAAGGGCCATGGAGAACAGCCTCCTTCCCACCCTCCTGCCTTCCCTTTCACTGCACAGAAATGGGAGGCAGAGCAGCTGTGAAAGGGAGAACTCCCTCTGCATTGAGAGCAGCCAGAAAGGAGGGAGAGCTCCTCGTTCAGATCCCCGGGCCCTGCAGCTACACAAACAGATGGAATAAGAGGAGATGAAAGGCTCTGCTTAAACTGTTGCTGGAGGGCAGATATTTAACATTTTGCTCGGTGGAGCTGTGGCTGCTCAGATTGGCGTGCAGAGGGGATGAACRGGGAGTTTCTCTGCTTGCAGGAAGCAGTGAGTGGGATTCTGGAGCAAAATGGAAGTTTGGTAACTTGTGATCTGTTTGCCTTGAGGTGACAAATATCCTGGAGATGTAGGGTGTTTGAGACTCGTGCATCACTCACTGTTTCAGCTCCTGTGTCAGCTCACAGCTTGCCTTAACCTGCAGCACTGAAGGAYCATTAAAAATTTCCTTCTGCCTGGAGAACAAGAGTGAGTGGTTAAATTCACTCTTGGAAAGCTACCAGGCCCATCTGTAACTGTTTCCTACAAACAGTTACCTGTGGTCATTTGGTACTTTTCTTCACCTGACTGGAAATTAGCAGGAATATTTGGTTTTGAAGTGAAATCCTCCAGTGAAAAGCTGCCATTTTCTTACACACTGATGTTCCTGGAGGATCACATGCTATAGGCAGCAGCACTCACTGATTTTGATCCAGGTATGGTGGCTTTGATAAACAACCTTTGRCATCTTTTGCATTCTGCTCAGATTTCTGGGTGTTGAAGCGAAAGCTATCCTTTCTTACATCAGTATAGCAGATGGTGTCAGGATTGGATCTTGAGTGTTTAACAGAGCACTTGGCTTCAGTGGCATTTTTGTGAATCCTTCAGCTCTTCCCAGAYAAAAGAGGAAATCTGAGTGAAGGTCATCCCCATGTGATACATCAAAGTGCTCTGTTCTGCAGCTTGCCATTGGAGTATGTGGACACCTAAGGATCTCAGCCCATCAGAGCCTTCACAGTTTTGAGGGGGCTTTTTAATTAATAGGATTTAATATTTCTTAATAAAGGGATCTTTGTAATTTGATTTTGGCTGGTTGTCACTAGGAATAGATTTGACATGATGAATCATGCCCACAGTCCTAACACAAATCCAGAGACTATTTCTTTGTGGATATATTAGTGACATCTAAAATCAAGTATGAACAGTATGAGAAGGTACAATTTTCATGACTGTATCCCAGTTCCTGCTTTCTAGTCTGTAGTAAGAAGCAACTTATTTTAATGCATGTTTTATTTTCATAGTTTATGTTGTCTCTAGGAAGTTTAGATAGGAATTCTTTGGAGGGAGATGTTAATCATAGAGTAGTTTCTCGAACTTTAGTTTCTGGTCTGATTTTGCAGAAGCAGGCAGTACATCTTTACTGTGTAATACRGTCTGAACTGAGATAATTCTTTGTGGATGCAGTTTTTTTTAGAATCCTATTTTATTTTAGGATAAGCCTAAGTTTTCACAACTGTTGGAACAGCCATAAAAACTTGACAGAAAGKGCAGATTCAGGAAATTAAGCCCATGCTGTTCCATTTGTCTGGAGATTGTGTAGATAAGAGTTTCCTGCACCGAGCCATCCCTGACCCTGTTGAGCTGCAACACAACTGCCACTTTCAATACTGGAGATCATTTATAATAGAGTTAATGTGTCTTGCACTTCTAAACTGGTGCTTTCTGCTTTGACAGGCTTCTTTATAACAAAATCTTTCCCAAGTGCGTGGCCACGGTGATGCAGAGCACATGCAATTCTGGCTACTGAGATTCTGATGACAAAGAATGTTTTAGACCATTTTAATRCCAGTGCAGAAAATGCTGCTCATCTCAAACCACAGGGAAAATTGATCCTATCCTACAGAGCAGAGARCCCATTATAAACAGTGGTTCTGATTATCTACATGAGGCAAAGCCAACAAGCTTGTGGGGTGGTATTTTGGGACTACAGTGAGATAATAAAACTGCAAGATGAATACATTTTTCTGGTCAGTGTTTCAGCCATATCTGCAGTTCATTTGGACTCTGCTGAGAACCCATTAAATAGAAGTGTGAAATATACAGTCAGGTTTTATTTTAAAAAAAGAAGAAGAAAAGAGAAAATGTGGTTRTTTTGGATTTTTTTCCCCCAGCTCCTTTATATGTGAAGAAACAAAGTTAATTTGTCTGACCTGGCAGTCCATTCACATTTTKAACTACTTTGCTTGCTTGAGCTTCTTTTACATATGTCCCTCCTAACCTTAGAGAGGAAAAAAAACCCAGAAGTCTCTTGATTTAGTGTGCACATTCTATGCCTCGACAAAGGCACTGTTCATACCCAGAGCATCCTCTTGTGGCTCTCTCTCTGCTCTCTCTGATGTCACCTCTGTGCTTCACGTGGCTGCTCTGAACAGAAGTGGCAGGTGRGGAAATGAACACATACCATGTCAAAGAGCATCTGGTCTGGGAGCAAGCAGACCATGCTCTTTTTACCACCAGCAAGAAATGATTATTCACAGCRTGATTCTTGTGAGGTTAATAAGGATGGCGGTGGAAAGCCAGACTCTAATTTGAGGGGTTTTGATTGACTCTTAATGATATCTCACACAGTGGTCAGTGGCATCCAATAAATGTCAGGCACTTCTGACCTTCCTTCCCTTTCCTGTTAAGTAATTTCAGCCATGTAACAGCAATAAGACCAGACAGGCATTGAATTTCCTGGGTGGTAATTGCATTTCTTTGGTGGCTCAGATCCTCACCCTGCAGCATCCACACTCACAACACACCAGCCACGTAGCTGACTCCACTCTGCAGCCTTTTGGCACCGGGGTGTTGCACTTTCAGAGTAAGAAGGGCAAAATATTATGCTGGTTTAATGACTCTGAGTTTAAGCACAGAAGTGAGAAGTAGATAAGTCTGATTTGACGTATTGGCCCGCTGCCAAATTAGCATCATGCATTTTCGCTTTAATGTTCTTCACACAAAGCTGAAATAGCAGAGTGCCATTCTTTATTATGTAGGCCTGAAGCATATGTTAGCAAATTTGCTGCCATTTCCCTCATGGTTTGTTTTTTTCCCCTCACATTTTTAGATACTGGTTGCATGGCTGGATTTTTTTCAGTAACGTTTATTTACAAAAACTAATTAGACTTGTTGCTATCAATAGCCTCTAACAGAGCTCTTAAGAACAAACTGCACGACAAATTGACATCGTGTCCTTGTTAAATCAACTCCTGCTGAGTGGGCACGATTTACATATTGATTACTTCACTTTCCTGATTGCCCTTTTTGCAGTGAATTAGTGGGTGGGGAGCGCTGGGAGAAGGGAATGTYGTGTTCTGGGTTTTACCAGCAAAGTTGCCAAGCTTTGCCCTTGAGCAGCGTGTGCCAGACCCGAGGTGCAGCAGCACCAAGGACTCCTCAGCACCTCAGAAATTTGGTTTTTTTCCCCCAGCTCGTCCGCTACAGCTCGGAAGGTGTCCTGCAGTTGGGGCCACTGGGCTCCACCGCCTTCCTGCCCGACTCCAAATGCCTGGTGGATGATGGCAAGGGCAGGACGCCCACCCTCAAGAAGTGTGAAGATGTCCTGAGGCCAGCRCAGAGGTTCTGGGATTTCACACAGGTGGGGAAGAGCTCAGGAAGCCTTGAAGAGAGAAATGATGCTCTRGATGCTCTTTTTTTAAATCAAAAATGAGGTCTTTAGAGGGCTKAACTAGGAATTCCCATCCAGAGCTTTTCAGAAATAGTCAAATACGTTTTCCATGGTTTGTGCGCTACCCAGAAGCATCTAGGAGTTTTGTGTCTGGAACTTTTCTAGAAAATTTTTTCTAGCACTTTTATCRAATTTTTTATCCGGAGTCTTCAAATAATTTTTAAGACTTTCGAAAGCATTGTTAGATTTTCTGGGATTTCCTATTTCTTGAGCTCAGTAGGGATTCACTAGTGCTTTTTAGAGATTTCCTAGTGTTTGGGGGGGATTTTCCCATCAATTTCTAAATACACAATTGTCAAGGAATTGTTTTGGTACTTCGCATTAACTAACTTCTCCTAGGAATTTCTAGAATTTCTAGGGAATTCATGACTTGATATATTTATTTATAGTGCTTTCTAGGGATTTACAGATCTAGCTTGGGGGTTTTTTCTTATTCTGTTCACCTTTTTTGTTCCTTCCTCTAATCCTTCTTTTTTTTTTCTTTTTTTTCTTTTTTTTTTTTTCCCAGAATGGTCCAATCATCAGCAGAGACACTGGCCGTTGTCTAGAAGTGGAAATGTCGAAGGATGCAAATTTTGGGCTCAGATTAGTTGTTCAGAGGTGCTCGGGGCAGAAATGGATGATTAGAAACTGGATCAAGCACGGTCGGCACTGACTGTGRGGCGGAGCTGCCTCTCCTGCTGTTGTCCATTTCTCAGTGTGCCATATCTCGCGAGGCATTTGTCTTAAAGAAAATTAGTTTGAACAAGTCTTGGCTCTCAAGAGTCCTCCATYGTTGGGCATTCCAAGGAAAGAAAGAAGTAAAAGAAAAGCAGACACACACACTGTTTGACTCTTCCTTGCTCCGGCAGATGACGTAGGAAGCTTAACGAGAGTTTTGTGTCGATTTGGAAATCTTGCGAAGATCAGAACGCAGCAGGAAAGCGGATTCCTTCCGCTCTCCTAGAGGAATTGACAGATCTTTCTGTGCTGAGTTCAAAGGAGACATCCCACTACTGCCTCATAAAGAGAGTTCTCTGATGGGTAGCTTTTCAGCTTTAAGTTTTGGACTGGTGCACAACTCCTACRGTGAATAATCATGTGCCTTTTTTATTGTACTTCGTATAAAAGAGGACTGGAGAAATCCTACCTTTTCAGCATGTCTGGTTCGTTGTACTAAACAGGAAGATCTGTAAATAACACTGGAAATATATTCTAATATATGATACATTTCAAGGTTGGTGGCTTAGGAGTCTCTGTTTCTAGAAAGAGACTGTTCTGCAAATGTTTACAGGTGGCTCTCAACCTTCGAGCTGCTGGAAAAAGCAGCATTTTAGAGACCTCTTCCAGTTAGACACAATAAGCGTTGAATAGGTAAAATAGCCACATGCTCCGTTGTAATGCCACATTTTACATTTGTTGGCTGTAAAGGCATCACAATTTAGCACTTGGATATTTGGCAGTAAATGTCCTGGCAGCTGGGTGGGTTTCAGGAGGCCTCGCTGGCCCCAAAGCCCTGAKTGTGTCCTGAGTGTGTCCCTGTCCTGCAGGTCACTGCTGTGCTGTGCCTGGAACAGGGATACTCCTCACTTCTGGAAATTGGTTGGCTGGCTTAGGTTCCATCTGTGGAGCTCAAAAACTTGGATCTTCCATTTTGTTCCCCATCCTGTGAAAATGTCAAATGTGAGCAAATACGCTTTGTGAGCACTGTCTAGACAAATTTCCTGAACAAACCAACAGAGTCTTTCCAGCATTTGAAAAACAAACTCAAAGCCTAGTGATAAGAAGGCAAATTAGAGCAAGGGGTAGGGAGCATATATAAATACTCTGAWATATAAATATTYTACTGTAGCTGACCCATTGGCAGCRTCTTTGTGAACCTGAATTTAATAATGTATCCAGTGGTTCATGCAGGATCTGTTGCATATGGACAGAGCAGTGACAAGGTCTTTCCAAAAGGCTGTCAAAATTGATGACCAGTGTCATCAGCAGGTTTTGGATGTGGGTCCATGGCACTCAGCTTTTCAGTACAGATGATTTCAATCACACTGAAGGAGGGACACAGATGGTATCTGTTAATTTCACTGTTTGATATTTTACACTTACTTATTTTAAAAAATTGTTTTGTTTTACTGAGCCAGGAAAATAGGTAATTGCAGTCACTGTGGTACCGTGGATCTTGGTGATCTGTTCCTTGGATAGCTTTTGCCATTCCTATTTCAAGGCATGCTGAACAAAACTGAATGGAAACAAAGTTAATTTTTCAAAGGCATGATATGTAATAAAATATTTACTTTTAACATGCAAAATCCATCAGTTCTTGTCAAGTCTYGGTTAGTATCTAGAAAGCATATCACTATATTTTGCCCCAATTTTATTCTTGAAATGGAGTGTGCAAGATCCATGATAAAGCCAATTCTCCTGGAGTTCACTTGTGGCTAATTGCTGATCTTTATTCATGTCACAGAGCCCAGGTGACACATGAACATACAAAGAAAGAATTCTGGGTGAGATTCTAGATACAAAAATGCTTAAAATTCCGTGTTTATGGTAAGTTGAACACAGCCTTTTGAACAGTGTAATAAGAACTGCAGGGAGAATAGCTCCTTTAATAAATCAAGCAATACTGTATAAAATCACGGACAATCTCAGTACTTAAGCCTTGCTGCAGGTCTGAAACTGGTAGGAAAAGGTAGGAAACTTCAAGCTAAACATAGATTTACAGAGAACAGCTGCCCTGCATTTAACCTCCTTGTGTTAACCTACCAGACCATTTGAAATTATCTTTGCCATCTATGGAGCAGGTGTTGAAGGCTTTGTGCAGGAGTGAGTTTTCATCTTTTCTCCAGATAGAATTTTCACCTTTTACATCGTGTGAAAGCTGTATTCTCCTTTTGTTTGCTCTGGTGGAGTTTTACTCCTTGAGGGAGGTGGGAAAGCAAAAGAAGGAAAATGTGGTTTTACCAGGTGAGATTCAGAGGAACATCAGGTTTTAAATCTACTCTCCTAAAAGGAGGTTTGCACATGCAGTTTAGGAGCTTTGAAGCTGAGAGGACCAGATAGATCTGTTTTTTGCTGGCAAAGATTTCAAGGGAGATTTCAAACCTTCACTCTGACACCACCACAATGAAAGACAATTGGTAGTTTTGGAATTTTGCAACTCAGTGCTCAGTGCAGAGCATTTGACCGTGGCCACACTGTCTGAGATGGTCAGTCCTGGCAGGTTTGAGTGCCAAGGTTGCAGGAGGTTTGCAAGGACCAGACTTGGGGTATAAGAAGGAAAACAGGTTTTTGTGGTAGATAAACRGCTTTGAGATTTACATAATGACATAAAAGAAATCAAATAACTCTTAAAAGGTGGAGTGGGTATTTTATGTGATTGTCATTTTTTTAAGATTTGCTGGAACAGTTTCTTATATTTGCAAACCACATCTGTTGGATTAATTTTACTTTAGTCTTTATCTGTATGAGCCACTGCTTTGGCTGTGGTACTAACTGGTGACTCTGCATGTGAGAGGGTCTCAAATATTCTCTCATCAAAGGAATCCTAATAAAAAAAGCCTTGAGTATTATCTGTTTTAACCAAAGTCTATGGTCCTTTTGTCAGTATTTCACCCCTTAGCATCACCTGAAATCCTGCTTAATGGTGTTCAAATTTTCAGTCTTGTTTCCCACAGTGCAGCACGCTGCATCTCATGAAAAGTATTCAATGTAGTGCAATATGCCTTGTAGAGAAAATTCAGATCAAAGGCTTTCTATGCTATTTTGTTTGATTCAGGAGATTATGGAGCTAAATACAAGGTCATAGGACAAAAGAATAGAAGGTSAGAAAACCATCAAGTCTAGCACACTGTGGTAAAAGGCAGGCAAGCCAGGAAAAAATATGCATTTCCAAGCATTTCAGGGTCCCTAAAATTTAGTTTGAATCCTATGGTAATAAAAAGCTCTTTCTCCTTTGAGAGCTACAGACTATTTCCAAGCTGAATTTATTTTTTGGCTTGGTACAATCTATTTGTTCCTCAGCCAAAACTGTCCTCTAGCCTTTACTGGCTTGCTGGCTCCTGAGGCGTGCTCAGCTTCAGTGAGAAGGAACCAAAAGAAAAAGTTGGTGGTTTTGGGAAGACTCACTGGATTCCTCTCCAATCATATAAGATCTCTATTGTGCCCACCTATCACAACCCTTTAGGGCTGTTCCACATCCAAAAAACCAATCTCAGGTTCCATAGAAGAGGTCTGAGACCAAARTATGGAAACCAACAACAGGTTTTCATACACATTTTGAAGGTGTTGAGCTGCCTATCTCAGTTCAGTTAATAATTTGGGGCTCAATGTGTCTGAAGATGAAGCCTTCACAGTCCTTCATTTATATTCCTTTTCATCAGCCTATTCCTTATAAAAACTGTAATCTAGCAGATGAAAACCTCACTTGCCATGTGACAAGGGGTGTAATCTATCTGACACAGGACAGCTGCAATTTTAAGTACTTAAGCCAGAGCTAATAAGATTTAATGAAATAGCACCAGTCCTAATCTGTTCTTTAGATCAATTACACAGCRTGTAATTCCTTCAGTATCCAGTGTTCATTTGGAATGGTTCATTAACAGCCATACAGAAGTGCATTATGGCCTGATTTGGGATCCAGGGACTTGGGCTGTAAGCAGGACTGTGATGRAAGTTGTAGTTCAGAGGGAATTTGGGATATTATTATTCAGTTAGGCCACAAATACCTTCGGTTTTTCGTGAGAGGCTTTAGGAGGAAGAGCAACGATCAGAATTCACTTGATTGGAGGTGTTTCTAACAATGATGTTCTATTTTTGCCTGCTGCTGTTTTGACTGCCTGCTGCTCAGTGCTGATCAAAGTCAATGGTAAAGGTCAYACCACAGATAAAAGATGGTGTTGCAAATGAGAAGATCTAGCTAACAGGCTGGACAGAAACCAAGGAATGATCAGGTCTTCACGTCTCTAGATCTGGATGCCACCACATCTTAATTCTTTGGAAAGAATCCCAAACAAAACCTTTTTTATTGTTTTAACAGGAAGACCCATTCAAGAGATCGCTGTCACACAATTCGATTTTTTTTTTCCTGTGTATGATATTAATGGACTTGAGGTGAAAGCTCTGACTACTGAATGCATGGAAAATATGTAAACTGGGAACCTGGTGTGCTGAAGTGTGTGCATCATGCACTCATAGCTCCTTCTGTGGTCAGCAGGACATTCATGAAACACTCATCACCAAAAACATTCTGCTGGAGACGGAACCTGCTCACCTGGTGAACCAAAGGAACTCAAGAGTAAATACTGAAGTTATAAAGTTAATAATTACCAGTGGATTTGGCACAAAGTGCATCAATATTTTCATTTTCTTCTATAATTGGTTCATTTCAAACACTCTCCTCATTTCTGTAAGGAGGTGGGGTGCTTGTGCTGTGTGAAGATCTCAGCTGTGACTGCACAATGCCCCAGCCATCAATGGCATTTGAAACAGAGAAATACAGAGACTTTTTTAGTACATTATAATGGATTTCAGAACGGCTCCACAAAAYACAGTGACTTGTATTACAAAAACATTAATGACATGTAACTAAAGTTATTGAGTTCAGGGGTTGTCTTAAATAAAAACAATGGGTTTGGGCCAAGAATGCTTACAAAGACCCATTGAAACCATATATGGCAACCTGCTTTTGAGAAACATAATTTCTGGATCAAGAGTGTCTTCAAAGTCTTCTAGAAGCATTGATTACTTTTCACAGTATTAGTGTTTCCTATTGGCCATCAACAAGTGTTGTGCAGTTTTCAAACCCTTTGTAATGTTTAATTTWAAAAAATGCAGCAACTAGAATGCGAGTTGTGACTGCAAATAATTTTTCATTATGTGGCACATCATCAAATCAATTTGTATTCACACTGGAAAAGTTAATAAATTACTATGCATTTTACTGCTGACATGAGCTGCATGTTTTATCATTGCACATGTGTATTAAAATTCAAAGATTCACACAAAGGAAAACTAGAATGGCACAGCATATGTGCATTTTAAATTTTAAAATGCACATAATCTGTTCTGAAAGGTGGTTTTGAGGAGAGCACAGGGCCCTTTGCAGCAGACTGTGAGATGTTGTGGAGCAGATGAGCTCTGTGCATGTCAGAGGAGATTCATCAGCACACACTCAAAAGAGATTTGGCCCTGAGTGTGCACACCCAAAACTGGATTTGTAACAGCACAAACTGCTGCCTTCTGCATAGCCCAGCATCTCATCACTGAAAACAGTCAATAATTGATGTTTGGAAGAATGAAACAGRATGCAGGGGAAATGTAGAATGATCCTTTCATCATATGTCCCCCTAATTTCTCAAGGGAAGGCCTTCCCCAGTGAGAGTCTCCACAGCAATGCAGCAGCAGATTTAATAATTACAGTGGTCCTGTGTGTGTCCAACCCATTTGGAGCTCTGGATATCTCAGCAACCTCATGGAATAATCTTTATTCCACAATCTTTATTCCTCTCAGCACAATTGCTGAGAGTTCAGCCCCACTGCCTCTCATTCCATAGGATGCCCTGTAGTTCTCTTATGGGGAAAAAACTGTGAATAACTGCTGCCAACTCTTTTTTAACACCCTTCTTAGTCTGACCTCTGTCATCCTGTTTTAAAATATATTTCTCAGCTGACTGCCGTGCTTTTTTTTTGTGTCACCATCGAACAACTTTGTAACTGCACAAGCAGATGCTTTGTGTCATGTCTTGTGTTGGGTGATAGCAGGGTGAGAGCCCATCGGGTTCCTGAGCTGCTCAGTGGGATAAAACATACATTGCTGGTTTTAACATTGATTTTGGATCTCAGCCAGGCTGTTTCTCKGGTGTGTATGACAAAGTTTGCAATTTGTGATCGAGGAGAAGAGAGCATCTGAGAAACGACCCATTCCCTTTCATTTTTCCCTGCTGCTCCTGCTGGGAGGAGGCTGTGGGTTAAAATCAAGTGACCAGGATGGGACATGTGGCCGTGTTCCTGACTCTCTTACACCCCTCTGGTTCAGCTGAATCAACTGGGTGAGCCCTGAGTGCACACTCTTTTTCCTTCCCACTTTCTGCAAGGACAGTGCCTAAGTGGAAGAGTAGCTATTGACTCCCTGGTTTTCCCAGAGGAGGTAGGGTTGGCCATAGGTCCCCAGCCTCAGAAAGAATGGCCTSATACAGCCCTGGCAAATTTACTTCCACCCTCAGGATCAATCTTTGCATTCTTTCACATTTCTCTGTAACTCCACTCTGAGGACTCTGTGCAGAAACATCRCTCTGTTCCAAGCCAAGGCATTCTSTACTCCCTATTGTAATCAGGCCAGCATTTCTTGGAAGGAGAAACATCACCTTTAAAGGTACCATATGTTTGCTAGAGTCAATGCTTTGTGAATAATAGCCAGCAAAATCAGGTTTGTATAAATATTTTGTCAGCAGCTCTGCATCTGACAACGTTTGTACTGCACGAGTTATCCTAAGCATCAGATTTTTCACTGGGAAGAACGTATTCCAGTTTGTTCAATAAATCTTCATGAATCAACTGTGAATCGTTAATGTGTGCCTGTAAGTGAGCACTGAGTGGCAGTGATAATGATTTTTTGGCCTATAATGGTTTGGTCATTGTTTTATTTTGTTTTGGCTGTCTGTTGCTRTAATGGAGTTGAGCACCTTTATCAGTTTGACTTGCCTTTGCATCCTGA